GATGGCAAGGACAACGGTCTGATCAAGGTTTGTGTGTCATGCCAAGCTAAGAACAGTATGCTTTGGTTTTAATCCTTAATTTGTTTTGATATTTCGTGATAATTTTACCTTAAATATTAAATAGAATTTTAGATAGTTGATTGCTCTTTTATTTTTTTTTTCAGGATTGTGTTTTCCAGAAGAAGTACAAACATACCGTTCTGCATGTCTACTTTAATGGTGCCCTCAGAATTTACGGCTGTAACAGCTGCTGTAAACGCTGGTTCTTTACCTTCAACGGTGGTGAGTGCCAGTCCCCTAACGCTATTGATGGAGTGGTCTACATGCAAAGAGGCAAAAATAAAGACCTCCATCGAGTCCGCCATATTGAAGGTCACTGTGACAAGATCCACAAGGGAAAAGTACGTGTTGGCTTCAACGTGGGAAACTGCAAAGGGTACGGTAATTTTGACGCGTATACCGGATGGAATTCCGTAAGCCGTTTGTTTATAGAAGAGGTGCCCAGGCCACAGAAGTGATCCCGTTCATGACCACCACAGCCAACCCAATGATAATTCATTGCAGGTTTTAAAAATAAGATTAGCAAGTTAATCATGCTGTAATAAGGTGCTGGGTTCAATTAAATAATGAATTGATGCAAATTCTTGTCTAGTTTTTATCAACCGTAATGAATCTATTTTTGAACTGAAGAAAGAAAGACTAAAAGGGAGAAAGAAAATGAAAAAAATCATTGAATAGACGAAASAACGAAAAAGTGTCATAAAATTTGATTTATAATATTGAGAAGACGGAGATAAAGATGTTGACAGAAGGGATAGCGTGACAGATTAAACTGTGGTGGGACTCTAATGAATAAAAATAGAGGAAAGTCATAAAAACCAAAGCTTGAGAAGTTTCTTCCTCAAACATTAAGTGAACAGTTTACAAAAATGCAGTAAACATCATGACATGGYTTCATTGTGTGACAGGCCATATACACTATATATGTGACAATATATTCAGCAACCAATAGCGTACCATGTTTCTTGAAAAAGCATACGAATTCAAAAAGAAATTGCTGCATAAAATGGTCTGTCACGACATCGTATTATGGCAAGACTGTGATAAGGCATCATAGTGTGACTATTTGGTATCAACTGTGAGCGTGACACAGCATTAACTAGCATCCATTGCGTTWTTCTGTTATCAAATTGAAACTAAGAGGCATGGAGTGACAAACGTCTCTTTGAGTTCGCTTTTCGTACAGCTTCAATTGCAAAATCTAAAGCAGCAATTTACCAGGAAAAAAAAAGAAAGAAAAAGAAAAAAATTAACACAGATATGACTAACTTAAGATTACGTGACATACGCTGTGCAATCATATCCTGGATAGTTGGGGTTCCTGTGCGTGAACGTAAGACAGGAAACCCGATGCTACGAACAGTTTTTCGAATTATAGACTATAACTATCATCTTAAAATATGTCATTTGTGAGAATTGAGGTACGAATGCAAAACAAACATCTTCTACCCTCTCAACTTTTAAAATTCACTCCGTACGCGTACACGTGTCTATGTTAAGAATGGTCGACAGCTAACGTTGATATTAGCATAATCACTGGTCATTTTCAACAGCATGAACACAATCTAATAACAGCAGACTTGACCGTGTAATAAGACAACTAACTACTGATGAACAAACAAATATGACACGAAGACAGCAATATCAATCCTCCTTAGTTGAGTAGAGTATTATTATATGGAATGACTAGGGATATACCAGGGTCTGAATGGGATTAACTGTTAACTGAGGAACGTCTAAAATATTAAATGTTTACTGAGAATTTCGGGTTTATTTGGCTGACAACCGATACTAACAAGATATTATAGCTGCTATTCCTTTGTTTGCATGTGTTTTACGTACTAAATTTTAACCAAAAGCAATCGGTTGCCAATTACTCATAATTACTGACATTGACACGACTCCGATGAGATATTTGCATGTGCTATCACACACTCTGGCTATTACGTATGATTTAAAATACACAATAAAAACAATATATATGAGATTACGTATTAGTGACGCTCAACCGCATCTCCTTGATAATTGGGATTCCTGTGCCTGAATTTAAGACAGGAAACCCATCATACTTCCGCGTCCAATTATTCAAACTATATACGTGTGATATGTTATTTTTATTACTATTCAAATTAACTTATGAAAGACAACATTTTCGCTGTATTACCATGAAATAATTGATACCTTAAAACCTATGTATCCTGCCTATCTTGATTTATATTCTGATTATTGGTTTAAACTCTATGGTTTGTAGAACTACTCACGTTATAGTTCTAGTAA